CCCCCCCCCCCCTTTCTCTAAAATATCAAAGCCAGATTTTTCATGAAAGACACCAAGAATCTCCTGGCTCTGAGAATCTCCCAGCCAGACAATGCTGGTTGGAGCTTTCTGAAATTCGTATTAGAACAAGATACATTTCCAAGCCCTCTTGCTACATTGCTACTCTACTGTTCCCACGACCAAGAAACTTCCAGGACTGTTTCCCTCTCTGCTTTATACATATCAGTGTTCTCAAGGAGAACTGACCAAAGTATAATGTTGTCCATACATCTCTCATCATACTTGATAATCCTTTTCTTCTTTTAAACTGATTCCAACATTGGCAAGCTCATAACCCTGGCACTGAAAAGGTTGTCTTTAACCCCAACAGAAGCCCTGCCAAGGTGGCAGAAGCATAAACGTTTAGGACCACCTGTAATGGCAAGTGTGGTTTTTATTTACTCAGATGATTTGCTGACAAGACCACCTGTGAGACAAGGATCAATTGGAGCCAGATGTCATGGGGTAGGCAGTTTACTTCTGATCTGATTGGGGCAATATTAATCTATTATAGTTTTTGCAGATCCTGCTGGAGAGCTATCAAGCTTTAGCAGCTTTTGTCACTCACTACAGCTACTTAAGAGGAGATCCAATTGAGTCACCAAACCAGAGAAGCTTAAATGCCTCACAGTGATGGAGTGCTGTAATTTATGTGGGATGTTCCATCTGACTGAATGACATAGTATGGCTTCATTCATTTTGGAGAAAGCCCTTGCTCTTACTCTGTGGGGCCAATGCAGAAGTTTGTTGTTGTTGTTGTTGTTGTTTGCTTTCAAGTCATTTCCAATTTATGGCAAACTTAAGGTGAACCTATCATGGAGTTTTCTTGGCAAGACTTCTCCAGGGAAGGTTTGTATTACCTTCTTCTGAGGCTGAGAGAGTGTGACTTGCCTAAGGTCACCCAGTGGGTTTCCATTACTAAGAAGGGATTTGAACCCTGGTCTCCAGAGTCCTAGTCCAGTGCTGAAACCACCACACCATGTACTAATGCTTTCATCTACTACAAAGAATGCTGAAACATGCCATTGAAAGGAGGAATTCTTAGAACTGGGAGGGATGGGATGAGTAAAGTAGTAATCTCAGGCAGTAGGTTTTGGAAGATAATAACAAGATGATGGAAGACAGAGCTGTGGGTACCACATGGCCTATACCAGTGAATCCCACACTCTGCCCTTCCAGATGTTTTAGACTTCAGCTTCCAAAATCCCAACCATTGGTCAAAATAGCTAAGGCTTCTGGGAGCTGAAGTCCAAAGCATCTGTAGATTCAGAGTTTGGGGATTACGGCTACACTATACTCCCTAAACTAGTCTGAAGTTTCACAGATGGCTGAGGGTGATAGATCCTTTCACTATTATTGAAAGAGAATTCAACTGCTAATCCAAGTTTTGGGGGCATGGAATGGAACATGGGTGCCATCTTGTTCTTTGCCTCAGGGACAAAAGGTCTTAGGACAGCCCTGTGCAAAGAGAAGGAAGGGAGGAAAAGCTGCTCCCCTGGAATAATTTCCTTTTGGTGCCTCTGCAAATTTGACAGGAATGAGAACAAGGAACCAGTCCCCAGTGTCTGGCTGTCACTAATTTTATGTCCCTGGGGAATGATGCTATGTCAATATTTAGTTTCATTCCAAGATTTCTGAGAAATCAAGATCAAGAAATGTCAGGAATATATTCTTCTAGAACATGGGCTCACTGCCCCAAACTCCACAAAAACCTAAAGGGTTTTTTTTTGTCTGATGCACAAAGGAAGGGAGAAAAAGTTCAGAACAGGGCCAGTCCAAGATATTGTGCTGCAACCCTACACCACCCACACCACCCCCTGATCTACATACATAAGTCACCCAGACTAGCAGCTGAATTTTATTTGAACACTGAATGTAGGACAGTGTTTTCCATTGCACCTGAGACCACACAAACTTTATTTGCTCCCTGCCCCTCAATATCTACTGTTTGAGACAGCCATTCAATTCTGTCTCATGGTAAAATTCACCCTGTCCTCTACCCGTCTACATAGCATGCCCCCCATCTGGATTGTGTTGCAGCAGCAGTTGTTGAGTTTCCTAACCTATATATGAGCATTCAGTGTATATATCTGTTCAGTCTGGTTCAGAGCCAGGACAAGGGTGAAATGTTACTTTTTTGGATTACAGCTCCTAGACAGTGTTTTTGCTGACTGAGGGATATGAGGAACTGGGGTTCAAAAAAAGTAATATTTTCAAGTTCTGATCAGCACCCAGTCTAGTTCTATCAAAAGGCATACAAGTAGAGGGAACAGTGGTAGATGTGAAAGACATCAAAAGAGCCATACTTCATCCTGGTTCCTGTTCCAAAAGGCCTCATAGATGGTAACTGACCCAAGGCCACCCACTGAATATCACAGCTGAGTCAGAATTAAATGCATGATAGAATAATAAGCACATGTTTCTGATTTTATTATGTGAAATGGTATTTTAAGATGGCTACCATAGAAACCAAAGTAAATATTGTGAATTATTCTTCTGGTAAACTCTAATTCAAAGTTTTGTAATTCTATCCATTTTTAAATTTTATTTTAGCATTTGTGAACAATATTTTCTTAGCTTCCAAGCAGTACAAAATATAGAATGATGATTTCTTAACTTGGATTACTATTCTTGATTTACAAGTTTTGAATTAAACTGGAGTGACTAGCAGGCCAAAAAGCCTGTTTTTCTCATTCAGATGCTGAGCAAGAGGCAGGTCACTCATTCCGAGAGCACAGAAAAGTTACTTTTTGAGGGCTACATCTTTCAGACCCCAGCCTTCTTTCTGTGTAAGCAATAAGCAAGCATTGGTTAGCCAGATCACAGGAGAATTCATCTAGCAATACTTCAAGTCTTAGACAATTCATAAGGCAACATACAAGATCAGGACAAGACAGGACATCTTTGCTGGTTCCTGGTACTCCATTCCACTCCTCCAGATTGGAGCCTGAAAGACCAAGGCAAAGTATGAGTGCCTGAAATATAAGTTGTAAGCAAGCCCAGTTTTTGACATTATACACCACCATTCCTAATGATGAGGCATGTCTGCCATGAGATCAGCCTTAGCTTCCAATTTCCTGGCCCTGTGAAGTCTGAGTCTACCTAAGCCTACATTAACTGTGATCTTAAACCAGCAACTTTTTGATCACTGAATATACATTTATATTATTATTATTGTTGTAATTTATTTATTATATAATTAATGTAATTTATTCTTATACCCTGCCTTTTGCCAAGGCAATCAAGGCTGCTTACATAATATAGGATACAAAGCATATTATGAGATACAGTTTAAAAACATATTAAACAGCAATAACAATGATAACAATTAACCCCCCCCCCTTAAAAGAGGGAGGGCCCTTCTTCTTTCTAGGCTAGGCCCAATGGATCTGACCTGCCTTCTCTCCCTCGATGATGGTGAATGGAGGGAGAACCCTTTTTCTTGTTCAGGCTAGGCCCGATGAAGATGGCCTGCCTTCTCTCCCTTGATGATGGTGGATGGAGTTAAAATTATTAGAGCTAAAAGCAAAACAGTTATATAACACAATCAAGGGAGTGAGCCAGCATGGCATAGTAGTTTGAGCATTGGACAATGACTCTGAAAACCAGGGTTGGAATCCCAGGTTGGCCATGTAAACCCACTGAGTGATCTTGGACAAGTCACACTCTCAGCCTCAAAGGATGGCAATGGCAAACCCCCTCTGAAGAAACTTTCCAAGACAACCCTGTGATAGGGTCACCATAAGTCAGAAAGAACTTGATGGCATGCAACAACAAAATGTAAAGGTATCCTGTAACACCTTTGAGACCAAGGGCTTGTCTGCCAAGTAGTGAAAAACCTTATTTGGGCTGGGAACTAGCTGGGATATTAAAATGGTTTGAAAGTCTGCAAGGACAGTTGGATAGTGTAGAAAATCTATCTGATGCCCATGCAGAGAAAAAGTTAGTTGGAAGGGCAGGAGGGGGTAGGGATCCATTCAGACTTTTGCTCCTAGTGTAGGCTAGCATTAATCGAGAGAAAGAAGTTGGTAGTAAGCTTTCCCTGACTTAAGTCTACTTCATCAGATGCATGAAATGAAGTGCCTAGGGACAGATCTTTATACCTATGAATGAGCAGGTTGCATGTGTGAATAGCAATTGAAATGAAAAAGTTGTGGGTATTGTGATGAGTTGACAAGTTCAGTTTAAACAATGGTCATTGGGGGACAACGGCAAGAAGAAAAATGTTACCTAAAGCCAAGGTGAGTAGATAACTATATGAATGGTGGAAGGAGTTAGTGGAATATAGTGTGATACTGATTGCAAACCAGAAAGGAGATGTGATAAAGTGAGATAAGTCAAGTGAGATAAGTGGATTTAAGTTTACAAAAGCTTATGCTTCCAACTTCTTTTTCTCAGGACCTTATCACTCCACTCAAATAACCCAGCATACTTCTTCTGAACTGAAGTCTAAATCAGGAGGCATCCAGATTCTATTGCAAGGATTTTGCCACCAAAGCTGACAGGTGAGTCCAGCCCGGCTGCAGCCCGGGTCCCCAGTGTGCTTTGGCGGCCATTTGTTTGAAGTCGGAAAGCTCCCAGTTTCGAAAGCATGCCTGGGACCCGGGCTGCAGCTGGACTGGACTCGCTCGGCAGGTCTATGGGAAAATCCTTGAGATAGGACCCAGCTGCCTCCTGAATTGGACTTCAGTTCAGAAGAGGTAATCCAGGTTATTGCAGTGGAGCAATAAGGTCCTCAATCTGAAAAGTGCTACGAGATCCCTTTGCATAATGATCACGGCTATGTCTTTGAATAACACAGTCAGCCAGCCATACAGAGGAAACCATAAAACTAAGTGTCACAAGCTATCAAAGTCTGAAGCAAATTTTGAGAGTTCCAACATGTACATAAACTACAACAGGGTTGGCATGTATATAATTTCAGGGGAGAAGGGCATTCCAGAGTTTAGATGCCCCTACAAAAAAGACCCTCTCTTGATGTCACACTACAAAAAAGGAGTAAAGGTGAAGGAAGGAATCTCTTCCTATAATATTTCTCTATTATGGTTCAAAAACCCCATTTTATGGTAGTACTCTGATGAATCCAGCTCAAAGTTAATTGTGAGGCAGGGCAATATGAAACTGTGTAAGAAAAGGGAAAGAATGTTATTAAAAGATGCTAAAGCTGTGACATATTTTATTGCTGTTTCCTTGGCAAAGAAATGTTTGGCTTTGATTAACTGCCTTTTCCTGGAACCAGGCCTGATATTAGCATGCAGCACACTCATGCACCTGCCAGAGCTCCAGAAGCTCAGCAGGGGGCACCACTGGGCTGCCTTGCCTCCTTTTCCAGTACTATGTGGTTCTCTCCAAACTTCTATGTACATTTTCCACAATCCTCCACAGTGACACTACCTTGGGAGGATTATGAAAAATCTAAAGGATGTCTCAGATACAGCTGCCTGCCATGAACCACTGTTACTTCCCGCTGCTGTTTCTGCCACTAGCCTGCCATCAGTCTGCCATCTTCAGGAAGTATGCTGGCACTTACTGGCATAACAGGCCCCAATAGAGAATATACTTTCATGGGCCCTCTAAAATATGGAGCCATCCCTGCCTCAGGTCAATGAGAGAAGCTTTCCTACCTTATCATCTGTTTTATCAGAATGTGAATTGATTGTTTTTAAAGCGAATTTGTTGGGTAACTCATTACAACGTTCCCTCATCAATTAATTCATTGCTGTTCAAGTGATATCTCTCTCTCTCTTTCACACACACACACACACAGAACACTGCTTGTTATGCTATGTTATGTCTTATGTTTGTTATTTTTCCATACCTTGGTTTGAAAATAAAGCCTTAAACTAGTAAGACAATAGCATAAAACTTGAACAAAATCCACTCTAAAACTTCTTAAAATGTTCTTAAACCATAATTAAAAGGCTAGAAAATTTGACTTGTTGCCAAAAGAGGAAACCTCAATTCATTCATAATACATTTCTCAGGAA